GGTTTCTGCTGGGAAGAAGGGCTACACTGGCTGTTAGACTCCACAGACAATGTGTATTATGGCTTAGCAGAAAGTTTGTCTGCTTTGTGTTCTTGTCCAGAGACTTTGCCTGAGACTGAGATTAAGGGCAGTGGACTAATAAATCTGGCAAAATAAATCTGAAGGCAGTCTACTGTTGAGGTAGTGGCATGGCTAACACTGGGGGCTTTTAGCCAGATTTATGTTGAAAATCAAGAGCAAAGAGCCAAGAAGAATGATTTAAAACATTTAATTTGGCCAGAAAGGAAGCTCCAGTAAAGCTGAACTGCAAAGATAGAGCAGAAGAGACCACATTGCTGAAAAAGAACAAGAAAATAAAAAAGATGGCCTGAGGACATCAAAAGAAGCAGCAAGACTCTACCTTTCACAGTCAAAGGTGAAAGAGTTTGCTTTGAGAAGAGGGCCCTAGAACACCATGTTCTAGAATGGCTGTGGCCTAGGGAAGTTGTTCCTCTGGATTTGGTTTACAGGCACTCAAACCCTACAGCTAAGAGAGAAGGAAGCTTGGCTATTGCTCCAGGTGGCAGCAGACCTTGGCATCCTCCATGTGGTGCTGGGTTTAGGTGCATGCAAAATACAAGAGTTGTGGAGTCAAGAAGGCTTCCACCCAGATGTCAAAAGAAGGCCTCAGAGGCCAGGCAGTGCATTCCTGAGAGGGCAGTGTGTTAAGCTGTGAGTGCAAAGCCAAAGGTGCAACAGAGACCCCCAAAAGTTTAGAAAGCCAGGAATATGCATCTTCTGAGGAAAACTGCAAAGAGAAAGTTGGGCTTGCCCAAGGGGAAAAAAAAAAAAAAAAAAAGACATTACAGCTACAACTGCTGACAGTGCTGCAGAGACAGCCAATCAAGCCCTTTAGGGTTCACAACTTGTCACAAATTACCAGAGATGCTAGAAGTAAAACTGTGATATTTAATGTTTGCTCTGCTAACATTTGGTCTTGCACTGTTCCCATTCCTTGCTATTCCCCTGTTTATAACTTTTAGAATAAAGATGTCTATATTGTGTCATTAAATGTTAAAAGTGTTTAACTTTCTTTTCATTTATGCAGGGGATTTCAGCTAAGAGTTTGCCTTAAATCTCAGAGGAGACTTTGGACTTAGGCTTTTCAGCAATGCTAAAACTGTTAGGACTTAAGCAACTCTTAAGAGATGGACTAAATAACTTTTGCATAAAGGGATATGCATAAGCCTTTGAGGGCCAAGACAGAATGTTATGGTTTATATATACATGTACCCCCAAAGTCCTGTGCAGTCACATAGGACTGGGTCTTTTTCAGAGGTGGTTGGATCTACAGTGTGTGATCCTGAGATTGATTCATGGTGCAATGCTAAGCTCAAGGACTCTAAGACAAAGGGTATTAAGTAGCCTATACAAGGTACAAAGGGCAAAAAGACACTGTTAAGGTCCCTTCTTTGCCTGTTTTTGCTACCATCTGCCTGCCATAAATTGCTTCTCCATGCCACCCTGCTTTGAGCAAGCGATTGTAGACTTAAACCTTTGCCAACTGTGACCTAAATAAACCTTTCTTCCTTTAACCTTGGGTGTCAAATATTTTTTTCAGCAGCAGCAACAACAACAACAACACCTAAGATGGTAACATATTCACTGGACAAGGCATCTTTGGGGAGCCATTGTTCACATATCAAAATGCAATTCTTGATTCGAGATCAGATCTTATACCAAAGGAAAAAAAAAATACAAAAATTTAAAACAATCAAAATATAGGCAATAGGTCAAAGTATTAGAAATACTGCTAAACAATTTATTAATGTTGCAAATGTATGTGGTTAAATAAGAGAATTATTCTTTATTTACAAAATACTGAAGCATTTAGAGCTAAATGGGCATGATGTACACAACCAATCAAAGCATTCATAAAAATAATAAAATATATGCACACATATGGAAAGAAAGCAACTGATAAAGTAAATGAGGCAGAATGTTAAAATAGGTGAATTTAGATTAAAACTATATGGTGTCTTTTGAATATTCTCATGACTTTTCTGTAAATTTAAAATTATTTAGAGATAAGAAGTTAAAGAAAACTGTGTAGTTTACTTAAATCACTGATGAGGATTTTTTAACGAGAACAAGAAACTATAGTTTATGTTACAGACATTAGAACGCAGATGTGCGGCACAAATTCAGCAACTCAATTTTTGTTTTTTCTACAATAACATTATGGGTAAATGAAAAGGACCTGAAACCTCTAGGTATTTCTCAGGTCACCAAGTTAAGGAAATCTTAACCACCTGGCCATATTATAGTTTTGAAGATTTTTAAAAATAGAATTGGTGATTACCGCTGGATTTAAATACTAGCTGGTTGATCACAACCTGCTATTTGTGAGAGAGAATGTGCTAGGTCATTTTCTGAGAAGGCCCTTAGGAAAGCAGACTTCCTTTTACAGGAGGACTTAGCTGATATTTAAAACAAAAGGAAAAAAAAAATGACTGTATTCCATTCTAGAGCTTTCTTCTGTCCCATACCTCAGGCAAAATGTTATTGCTCTGGCCCCAGGGAATCTTTCTGGCTCCCACTTTCCCTCCAACCTGTATTGTTTAAAGACAAAAGATAAGACAGCTGGGGCTTGGACCCCTGACAAATAATCACAGCCCTCTCTACTGGGAAACTCCTCTGTTTTGGGCAGAGATTAACATTTTAAAATGATGGTACAACAAAGGGGGAGACCCCAGTTTCGGCCCACAGACATAGGCATGGGCTTATTTTTCTTGCCAACTATGTTGGCCAAGAACAATGTTTCTCCAGTAATTCAAGGACTGCAGGCCAAAATCAAATAATAGCAACTTTTCTCAACTATAAATGCCTGCACAAAATAGGTGGCAAAAAATTAGTTTTACTCTTACCTTACAAATCTTTGGCTATCAACAGCCAATACTGAGATCATTGATTTAGCAACCTCTACGATGATACTGTCACTAAAAACAAATCTATCTGGTTATTTACAGTTTAACACTTGTTTTGGAAAGAGCAGCAGGACTTCTTTAAGTATGTTTGACAACCTCTATCCTTCCTAAAGGCCATCCTAAAGGTGTCAGGAGCAGGACTGGGTCTCTATTTCCTATAGGCTTCCCTCCTGACACTTCCAGGCATAGTAATTATTCAGGTCCCTACTTTCTGCAACTCTGGGTTAACAGTCAGATGGCCTGGGGGGTTCTTTTTAAGACTGTCACTTTCTAGTTGCACCACTTTGGGCAAAATACTTCTGGGCTGCCCATGGTGTCATCTGTTAGAAACAATAATAGCTATTCTACCTACTTTACAAGGTTTTTCTAATCATCCAAGGGAAAAACCATGTGAACTCATCTTGCAAATGGGAAAGTGCTATGAAAAGGCCAAGTAATTTCCTCCTCATTATTGTCAAAGTTTTTAAACATACAAGGCCATTTTCTAATTGATATGTATGTGTTTCTTAAAGTGTCCAGCAAAGTACTGGCTTCGTAATTCTCTTAACCAAAAATTTGCTGAATGAGTGATCACACAACTGGATGAATTAACTTGCAGGATGCTTTAATTTTACATCTCTATTTCCAAGGAGTGCTCCCTACCTCAAGACTTTGACCCTAACCCTGAGGATAACTGGTTCAACATGAAGCTACGATATGTATTCTCAGGACTTCTCAAGGACTTGAAGCAGCTCTTGCTAAAATGCATACTAATTAAAAGAAACAGAGCCCTTCATGGGCAGTCTTGCAATGAAAGTCACCTAGTCTTTGAGAAACATTTCAAAGCACACAGTGATGCACTTCAATGACTTTAATTTTGACTGACTGATCCAGAAAAATTACTCAGAACAGCTTGCACAAAGTCAGTATGGAACAAGTATTTGAAAACTTATGGAATGATAACAGTTGCAAAGAAGAAAGTATCTCAAATGGTTTTATGTTTACCCCAGGCTCACAACAGTTACAATGAATCCACATGAAACAGTATATTAAAAGCATTGTCAAGCTGCAAAGTGATCTTTACAGTAGAACAGCATTAACATTAAATTTTAAAACAGGCGAATGCTTGATATCTTAGGTATGGATGAATACTTTAAATTAAAAACATACAGAGTTACTATGAAGTTTTTCTGCCTTACACAATTCCAGAGGGTACTGTCCTCAGCTGAACACTGCACTGAAAACATGCACTCAAATAAAAAATTTTAGCTCACAAAAAATATTATCACTGAGCCACAAAATGAGTAATCGGAAGGAATACACACAAGACTTTAGTTACAACATTTAATTCTTAGAGGATATATTTGAAGCAAATATGCAAAATGGGGTAAGTTCTGATAAAGCTTTCTAGTGGGTACAATACATATTATATTATTGTTTATGCTTTAAATATTATTTTTGTGTGAACTCTGATACTACCACATGTAGTAAGAAAAATAATTACAATTCTTGGTTTCAATAAGAGTATTATAGTTGTGCCCACATATTGCTATTGTAAGTTTCAAAAAATCTATTGTATTACTAAGTTCGTAAATAAAATAGTTTGTGTTCTCAAGTTAAATAGGAATGAAAGAGACTTATTTAAAAAAAATATTATATTCAAATCTTTTGGAGGGATACTCAGAAAGAAAAAGAGAAATCTATAGCTTAGGTCTAAAGATGATCTTATTTACTAGAGGAGTACTAAGACCATGTCCTGAGGTGCTCACTGATAAAATTTAACAAATGCCTAAGAAAAAACACTGGCAGTGAAATTTCAAGGTACTGTCTTCAAATCAGCAAAGTTCTAAACAGCAGATAATTTCCTGTCTCAATATGGATGATCTCATCTCTTTTGTCAGGTACTAAAACAAAATGTGCATGGGCTGGGGATTTAGCTCAGTGGCACAGCACCTGCCTGGCAAGTGCAAGGTCATGAGTTCGATTTCCGATACCAGAAAAAAAACCAATAAATAAATAAATAAATAAATAAAACAAAATGTACAGCTTACATACCAGAACGTCCATCCCGGTAACATAGTGGAGGGTTATCAGATAATCTTTTGGAAGATTTGCTACCTACAAAGGTGAAAAAAAGTTCTTTGAAAAGCTTTGTACATATCAATTAACAGTAATTAGTCATATTGTTCACCCACCATTTCTTCATTTCCCTTGTAGGCAAATGCACCTTCCAAAAAAATTAAGTAGTAATACGGAAACTTATGGATTCCAAATTCAGTTACATGTGGCAAAGTGTACAACCTTTTGAATTTTAGAAATGATACAAACTTCAATTTCCATCTCCAGTTTTGGAATTCCTCTAGGACTATTTTCCAACTTGTCTTTCCATATAATTAGTAACAAAGTATGCTATTCTTGTCAGTTGCCTAGAAATGAGGTGTCAGCATCAACAGAGAACCTTCTAGAAATGCTATTCTCTGGTCATACCAGACCTACTGAATTTTGCTTAAGTCTTCTAACGGTTCTACACTGATCCTAAGAAAATCACTGTATCTTTAAAAGAATAATGTTACTTACCCAATGCAAATGCTTTACAACTTAAATAATTGAGAAAGGTTGAGTTTTGTGATATAATTTAATCCATTTACCTTGGGCTGAACCCTTAAGATGCCTCAAATGTTTGCCTACTTTCTTTAAAAGCCTTGAACAAAAGTCTAACTTTATTTACATCAGTCATTCTGGCATAAAAGAATAAGCAATGGATTTGGAGTCAGGGACTTTGGAGCCAATTAAACTCTTTGTACCTTGGTTTTCCTCATTTGTAAAATAGAGGTTCAGCTACTTATATCAGATGATGATTTATTAGTTAAGTGAATGTGCCAAATATATTGTAAATATTCAACCTTTATCCTTTATTGAGACCTAAATAGGGAAATGATTTTGAAGGCTGTTATGGTATACATATATATATATATGTCTCTGCAAAGCCTCATGTGATTATAGGTGGGGCTTTGGAAAAGTGATTGGATTATGAGGGTGGTATAGCCTATTTGCTTTCAAGGGGTGGAACCTGGTAAGAGAAAGGCCAACTGGGGATATGACCCGGAAGGAGATATGACCTAGAAGTGTATATGACCCAGAAGGGAATATTACCCTCCCTCACTTCTCTCTTCCCCTCTACCTGCTCCCTGGATGCCATGAAGTCAGTAGCTGCACTTCACCCTGCCCCTCTGTGAGGCTGTTTCTTCTTTGGAGCTCGTCACCAAGGACTGAAACTTGTGTCATAATAAACCTTTTCTCCTTTAAGTCATGGCGGTTGGATATGTTGTCCCAGCAACAAGAAAAGTGACTAAGATAAAGGTATACAACCACTCCATTCTGCTTGTCTCTAAAAACTTCATTTTCCCTATAGAAAATTTAGATCATATAAATGTTTGCAAAACTAGACCATCTCCACCTACCAGTCTTCCATAACATAAACCATATGCTGCTTCTTGGTTTTGCCAATAGCTTCTAGAATCTGAGAACAAGCTGGCGAGCAAAGAATCCAGGCAAAGGCAAGGTATTCAGAAAGGAACCAAGCGGTAACTGCTCCCATTATCTTCCTACCAGCCTAATTCCAATGGTGGGAGCCTCTCACTTGCCTGAACCTTGAGCTAACATGCTTGGTCTAGCTGCTTTATCTTCTGGCCACATGATAAAGCAAAAATAAGTGTCTAACCCTTGTTGAATATTTACTATGTGCCAGGCACAGTGCTTTTTAAGGGTGTAAGTTGCATATCACAACCAATCTTTAGATCCCTCTGAAACAGTGTCTCTGTTTTACAGGTAAAAAAACTGAGGCTCAAAGAAGGGAAGTAATGTGACTAAAGTCACATGGCCAACAGGTGTTAAATCCTGCTAGAATTCTGGTCCCACCAGCAGCAGAGCCTCCTTGGCCTCAGGGCTCTGCTACACATTTCCATCTACTCTGGACACTTGTCCTGACTATTTTCCACCTGTGAGTCCATACCATTAAACCTCTTCACCCCATCCCTAACGAAACAGTGCAATCCTCACTGCCTACCAGAAACACATCTGGGTGACTACAGAAGGTGGCATTTTCATTTTTCATTTATTTCAGGTGTTCTCTTGCTCTTCACACTTGACTTCTTCCTCTCAGTCAAACTTCCCACCCTGGTTCCCCAATTTCTTTTGTCTTGTTAATATTCATCTCTATCTTTGAAAGGCAAAGTGACCCAGTCATTTTTCACAAGCCCGAGGGGCAAAGACATAATCAGACACTTTTGCAGGAGTGAAAGGTGGAATAGGATGCTGTTTCATTATGAACCAGCCACTACACATGGGAAAATACAGTAAGAAGTGGCCAGTTTTCTGAACTCAAACTGCATAACAATCTAGCCCCTTCTTAAGCTTTACTTTAAAAATATAAGTGTAGAATCAATTGAATTACCATTTATAAAATTTAGGATCTGAGATCCAATGAACAGAAAGGAATGTCTGGGACATGCTGGCTGATTCCATTTTAGGCAGAATTTATATATAAAAATCAGTTCAAAGAAGAAAAAACACGGTACAAATTCTTTGACCATAGCCCTGGTATCTCCACTCTTTTATCAGTGTGAGGGGAGAACGGGGGTTACATCTTTCCACAAGAAGATGATTCACTGATACGTATTTTGTAGTAGCACAGAAAGATAATACTATTTTTGAAAAATGACTCTTTGCAGTAAGTGTTCATATACTGTCTCTCCCATAAGCCAGCAAGACCTATCTTATTAAACCTATTTACAAATGAGGACAGAAAGTTCAGGGAAGTTAAATGCATTTCCAAAGCCACAGGCAGCAGGAGTGATTGCCAATGGTACAATGCAAACCCTGGCTCTATGTGCTGGTGCTCTGTATACGTAACTACAGAGCAATCTTTTCTTTACTGACATTACATTTGGAAGAGAACTTAGAATAAGTTACTTCATGAATTATTATATTACTTTCTAAGCACTTACAGTGTATTGAATAGCTTTCAGAAAGCACACATAACCTTACCATAAATTCAGCTTCTCTGACACATATTGATCACTGTGGAAAGTTTTATAAGTAGCAGAACCTTTGGCCTATAAAACATAGGTTCCTTAGAGGCACTGAGTTTGATGCTGAGGCCAACAGCACAGCTTCTGGAGACAAAAGTGCCTGAGTTAGATGGATCCTGGCCCTGCTTCTTGTGAATGGAGAGGCTTGGATAAATTGTTTCATCTTCCTTTCATGTGTGTAAAAGAGGAATCACAATAGAATCCAGCTAATGGATTTGTAAAGATTAAATAATTCCAGTGAAATGCTGAATGCCTAGGCACAGTGTGTAAATGTATGTGAGTTTCTATGAATATTGAATGTTACGAGTGGGGCATTCTGAATAGAGAAGGTCACAGGCAAAAGCAAAGAACTGACGCTCGGGGTGTATTAGGGAAACCAAATGGATAAGATGGAAGAAATATGCCAGGAAAGCCACGTTAGAGACAGGCTTCAGAATGCTGGGCTGAGAAGTTCTAATAGGAGGCAGTAAGGTTCAGTAGCAAGTTTTACCACTGGGAACCTACAGCAAGGCACTCGGTCTTAGGCAAATTCCATTGTCCCTGGGAACCTACTCCTTCCCTGTAAAATAAAAGGGTGAACCAGATAGTTACTAAAAGCCCTCTCGTTTGGTTTCTCCTGAGAGCAGTGGTGCCACACTAAATAAGATAAGCAGGGAAGGGCATGATGAGATTGAAAACCACAGCCATGTGTGCTGGCTCACGCCTATAATCCCAGCACTTGGGAGGCTGAGGCAGGGGGGTAGGTTGCTGTGAGTTCGAGGCCAGCCTGGGCTACATAGTAATTTCAAGATCAGCCTGGACTATATAAAGAGACCCTGTCTCAAAAAAAAATAAAAACTAACGAAAGAATAAATAAATAAAAACTGAAAATCGTGAGAGTATATTTGAAAAGATTGGTTTGGAATGATAGATTGGAGCAGGGAGAGAACAGAAACAGACAAAAGGCCAGAAGACCACTGTGAAAGTCCTGCATATATGTTAAATATTACACAAATATTGGAAGTCTCTAGCAAAGCAGGAGGCTGGTCTAGATTCCAGGGAGGTATGCTGCTGGTACTGTAGGATGGGTACATAACTAGGGCTACCTACTTAGAAAACAAATCTATTCTACTAAAATAAGTTCAGAACAAATTTAGTTTAACTGATGGGAAATTTTACTAAAAGCCAAATCATTCTAATGGGCTCTGATACAAAGGACAACGATGCCAGTACTTGTACAATGTATAAAACTGCAGAAGCAAGTTCCTTAGTGACAGGGTAATGTTACTGGAAGGTCACCATTGTGCTGTTCTTTGGGTGTTCTGAGGACTGACCACACTCAGTGACACTGGAAAGAGCCGCATGGGAGAACAGAGTTCAGAAATGCTGGAAACCCAGCCAAGAAAAAGGCTTTGCAAGCCAACAAGCACTGGCTGCATACCACTCCCTGCAGGTATTTGGACTCAGGACAAAGAACTGAACATCAGAACACTTAACTCCCTCTCTAAGTCACCCGCTAAAATCTTCAGGTCTCGTGAGTCGAATGTCCTTGAGGTCCCTAAATCTCATGAAATCAGTGGTTGCCTGGACACTTGTGGGAGATCTTTACTTTCCCATCCCCTCTTTCACACCCAAGGGAGGAATCAAAATGCAATAGCATGAGCCCCTTCACACCACTTAGGAAATGCTTTGTGCAAAAAAAAAATCTGCACCTTTCTGGGGAAAAAGTCCATGGTTTTCAGTCTTGCATCCTCAGCAAAGTATAAAAACGATAGCTCTTGAGGGTAAGAAACTCAACACTTTGTCTAAATGCCATAGCTCACTCTTGTGCAGAAGCTTGTTCTAACATTGGCTGTTCAGCCTTCAGAAATAACACAACAGGCTGAGCATGGTGGCACACACCCGTAATCCCAGCACCCAGGAGGTTGAGGCAGGAGGATCGTCATGAGTTTGAGTCCAGCCTGGGCTCCACAGTGAGTTCAGGGCCAGCCTGAACTACAGAAGAAGACCCTGTCACCATCATCATCATCATCATCACCATTATCTTAA